ACCATGACTGGTCCAAACCTTTATGGTAATTTTAAATAACTTACAAACTTATACTAACTTTTTTTATTAATTTTTTCTAGCGTAAGAGAAATGTAGGGGGAGAGAAAATTAAAAAAAATGCCACATAAGAAAAAGTTAATTAAAAAACTAATATAAATCGTCACATCATTTATAATTGTCACATCATTTTTCTGTCGGTCAATTACTAGTCAAAGAAGTTCAAGGATCATTTAAGAACATTTTCTAAACTTATGCACTAAAAATATCTACTTTAAAAATTTATAGATCAAGTAGACATAAATCTCTAAGTTCAAAACCAAAATTGTATTTTGCTCTAAATTAATGTAAATGTATTGCATTTAAAATTTTGAAATTGTTCTAATTTTATTAGGTAGGGAAAGGGGAAGTTAGATAGGATTTTCTTACAAAAGAAAATAGAAATAAAAATAAAAAATTTGTCAAAAAAAAATTTTTTTTTTTAAGAATTAAAATTTAGGTATGGTTCATAATACATGATTTAGACTTACTTAAATCGCCTACATCATATACAATTTACCTATTGACTCAGCTCCGATTTCTACACATCAGATTATACGTGGCACATCTAACACTTAAAACGTACACTAGTTTTGACTTTGACTGCAACTTATCATATTTTTATCAATAATTTTATAATTTTTATTTTTATTATCTTTAAAAGATACTCTATTTTTTCTAATTTTTTTAAAAAATAATATTTATGAAATTTCTCCTCTGATTTTTATTATAGAGGAGCTTAGAATACTATCTTACGTCATTACTACGCTTAAGTGATGGGTATTAAAAAACTCCATAAACTTTTTTAGTTGAATTGAGTTCAAATAAACGAAAATTTTATAGATTTGGTTGGTTCAAGGGTTCACTTAAGATGCATTTGGATTGAACCGATCTAACCCAAATTTATTATTAATTTTTAAAATATTTCGTTTGCTCAACATAAAAATTATATTTATTTTAATTTTATTTCATTCGATCATTTTTTAGTAAAAAATATATTTATTTTAATTTTATTTCATTCAATCATTTTTTATAAAAATTATATTTATTTTAATTATATTTCATTCAATCATTTTTTTTATAGATTATTTATTCTACGATGGCTTTTGAAAACAATTTTTTAAGTTTTTGGAGTATTTTTTTTCCATAAAAATAAAATCAACATACAAATTGTGATGTAATGTTAGACAATATATAAAAGATATTTAAAATACTATCATTTTCTTTTTTTTTTCTTTTTTTGTTATATAATACTTTAAATAAGTGACAAGAGTAACCTAAATCGATCTAATTTAAATATTTCATTTGGATAGGATTTATATTTAATAAGAGTTATTTGGATTTCCTAAAAAAAATAATAATAAGGGTTATTTAGGTTGAAGAAATTTTCTATGGGTTAAATTTAAAAAGTACTTCAATCCAATTCAACCTAACTAATTCATGAAAGTGATTTAAATAATAAAAAAGTATTTATTAAAGAAGTCAACACAACAAAATCTATAAAAAAAAAAAGTTATTTATTTATGTGGTAATCATAATTTCTTCGTGACTTCTCAACTAAGAAAAAGAAAGCATATCGTTCCTTTGTATAAGTTATATATAAGCATATAGTTGGAGGTCTTTCGAAAGTTAAAAGTAGGCATAAAAATAATTGAATATATTATTAAAAGGTAATTTTGTTTTTATTTCAGGACTTAAAAAATTACTCACTAAATAACAAAATGGATTATGTTATTCGTTGAAAAGGGAAAAATTATGAAACTATTTTTAATTTATTCACAAGTCTCATAACATTAATTATTAAGATAATGACGTGCTTCCCAATGTTTAAAATAATAATAATATTTAGGTGTTCTCTGCTTGTTAATTACCGTTAAATCTTTTTTAATTTAAATATATATATATATACAACTGAAATAGCTTTTCTATTTTTCAAAAAGAATTGAAAAATTTAGTGGCCGGTGATCAACATGAAATCAACATGTTGTTGGAATTGGTGGCGCCAAATCGACATCAGAACGAATCAGGGACGAGTTGAGACATGTTGTTGGGCACTACAGGACCATGTTGGCCGAGAGCACAGTGCCGCAATGCTGCCACGAAAATCACATAAAAAAATAAAAGGCTGCAATTTCTTTTTCACGCTATAGATTCCGTAGCATTGAGACGTCGAGGGTAGCGTCTCAACACTACGATAGGAATCCTTTTTAAACCATCTTTTTCATTAGGTTTTTCGTGGGGCGTGTGAGCTAGTCGTGAATCAAAGGCCAAGGTAGCCGATGAGGGTTTAATCAGTAGTCATTTTTAGGGCATATCAGAGGCAACAAGTCAGGTGTTGGCAGCACAGAAATGGTTAGATCGATATCGTTGTTTTTAGGTAATTAGATCTTGATTATTCTGTGAATGGTTTTCATTCATGTACTAAGTATGTTTAAATATTTATAAGTTATGAGGCTTTTGTTGGGACCTCTAGAGGATGAAGATATATTGAGTGCTTGTATCCAATCTTAATTTTAATGGAACTTGCATCTGAGCATAAAACTAGACGTAGCGCATAAGCGGTTGGGGTGAATAAGTATAAATTCTTGTCTCGTTTATTGCTTTTCCTATATTTCTCTCGTGTGTTGTGTGATTGGCTTAAATAACTGGATACAATAGAGGAAATTGTCTGGTGTGCTTAATTTCCCAACCCATCTAAATATTGTTTTTCAAAATAAACTTTTAAAACCAAAATGATCATAGGTCAGCGATACTTAACATATATTTCCAACCACGAGACTCTGAGTTCGAATTCTTACTCCCACGTGTTGTATTAAAAAAAAATAATAATAAATAAACCTTTAGAAAGGCAATATGGTACCACTTTTTAGGATTTCCACTTATTCATTTTTCTTCTTATTTATCTTATTTAACACGTGTGGGTTGAGGCTTTGTTTTCTTCATTTTTAGGAACGTTTTTCTTCATTATTTACTTCAATATCATTTTCATTTTCTTTTGTATCTCTTCTTTTGATTTTTCTCATGACGGGATAAAAACAAAAGTATTTCAGATCTTTTGGAACAAGACATATGAGAGGTGTACTTTGGAACAAAATTGAATTGTTATTGATGGGTAGCTTATCAAGTTAAACACAGCTGTTATTGAATCATTATTTTATCGAACTTAAATGAACTACAAATCAACTCATATATATATTCTATGGTATTACCAACATTTATCAAAATCTGAGGTTCAATTTGATAATTTCTTTAACATAAGCATAGTTCATTAATTAAAGTATTTTACTATTCTCCTAAAATTTGGAGATTCAATCTCCCATCCACACATTTCTCCGTACTAAAAAAAGATTGATAATTTGATTAATTCAAAGCTAAAAGAATAAAAAATTAGGTGTTGATCAAGTTTAGGGATAAAAGGTTATTTTCTTTTTTCAGTTCTTTGAGGGGAAAAGAATGAACGGTAACCAACGAACCAGAGTCCCACAGTGCAACAACCACCAAATTTATATATATATATATATATATATATATTTTTTTTTTTATTAAGTACAACCACCATGAAAATTTGTGGATGCCATACTTTCTTATAGATTCCATGCATTATTTAAATAAAACATAATATAAGAAAGGAAAAAAAAATTAAAAAGGCATCCCAAATTCATATTTCCATTATAGGAGCATATGAAACAATCTCACGTACTTACTTCGGTTAAATAATTTAAAATAATTTAAAAATCTCATTTTTTATTATTATTTCTCTGAGCTGTCAAAGGTACCGTAAAAAAAACAACAGAATCTAAAAAAGAAAATTTTGCTCAACTGACTAATATATTATAAATCTATTTTAGGGTTAAAAGTTTCAAATTTCTATCTCATCTTAAAAAAAAAGAAAGAAAAACCAAAAAATGGATACTTTTTAATTAATTAATGATTTTATTTCAATAAGTTCCGTTTCAGTATAGTTTTTTAGTACAATATACTAAGAAATAAAACATCGGATAAATTAGTTTAGTATAGTTGTAATTTGTTTGATACTTTGTGATTAGTTTTTCTTTTTTCCATTTCACACCTCGGATAAATTACTATCGAAATAGGTCATTCATAAAGGGAGTTGATTTTTTATTTCATGGATGTGGATCTACTTCATCAAATTAAAATATGGATTATTTCGATTTCCCACTTAATAAATAAAACATATTTCAACATCACATCCCAGTTCGCCATCTTGTCAACGCAATCAAAACTTGTTTAAAAATTGATGTCTTAAAAAAAATAAATTAATTAATTACGAATTAAGAAAAAATAACTTCAATTGTATATTTAATCTAAATGTTTGATCTATTAGAATATTGCACTGTAGCCGTAGATTCTTCTTATCGTAAACGCCTGCCTGAAGCTAAGATCGCATGTGAACACATCTATGCCATGATGGGCGGAGGGGTCCATGATCATCACCATTTTTTTAGGAAGAAGAATTCAAGAAATTAAAGACCTACGTTTGCTTTCATTTTCAATTTTATTAAAAATTTTGATAACTATTTATATTTCGGTTTCTAATTTGTTTCAAAACATAAATAAAAATATTTATCCATCATTATTAAATCATGCGTTGGAGGCTATGCAATGTTTCTTTTATTAAAAGAGAGGAAGAACGTTATCGAATTGGCCTTAAAAGATCGATTCTAAATTTTTAAAATTTAAGTTTGTGTCCTTCAATTATTTAATGTTGTAATAGTCTTTGAAAAAATTTAATATGCGATTAAACAGACAATATGGAGAGTTCATACACCAAAAACTAATACTAAAATCAATTTCCAGATAAACTCAAACAAAAAACCACCATCTGTTTGAATTAAAAAAATTGAAATGGCAAAAAACGTGTAGGTTGATTAATGAATTCAACTTTTGGTAGTATTTGACTTGGGCCTCGCAAAGGGCTCTATAAATATATGATCCCACCTCCTCAATATAACCATTCCAAGAACACAGGAGAGAAAAAAAAAAAGAGAGAGAGAGAAATGGAAGTAGTTCAAGTGCTTCACATGAATGGAGGAGCTGGAGATTTTAGCTATGCTAACAACTCCCTTCTTCAGGTCTCTTCACATTCTTAAACCTTTCTATATGTTTTTTTTTTTCTCTTTTACAACAGGTAGGGTAGGGTGGGGATTCGATCCAAACATTCTTAAACATTTCTACTATTTCATTGTGTATATATATATATATATAATATATTTGTTTTACAACATGTGGTGAGAGATTCGAACTCTTACCCTCATAGTTGAGGATACGCCTTAGTTGGACTATGCTCTACTGACAAGACACTATTTCATACATATTTTGTTTTTATGATATTGTCTTTAAATTTATCCAATTCATCCGCTTAAATTTTTAGATTGAATGATGGTTTATTCATTCTTAAGCTTAAGATATCAGGTGGGAGGTTCTTCGATATAAATGAATTAAATTTATCTCATTCATTTTTTGGGTTGGATGGTGATTGATTGATGTTTAATGTTTGTTAACTAATCTGTCCATAATTTTGAGTCTACAGTCGAAGGCGATATCAATTACAATGCCAATAGCAGAGGAAGCCATTGACAAACTGTATGGCTCAGCTCTCCCAACAACCTTCACCATTGCTGACTTGGGTTGCTCTTCTGGGCCAAACACCTTCATGGCAGTTTCCCAACTCATTAAGGCAGTGGAAAACGCCCGTCGAAAGCTCTGCAAAGACCCAATTGAATATCAAGTTTTCCTGAACGATCTTCCGGGCAATGACTTCAACACCATCTTCAGGTCGCTGCCTGGTTTTCTCGAGAGTTTCAAGATGGAGATTGGGGGTGACGATCTGGGGCCTTGTCTCTTCACTGGGGTGCCTGGTTCGTTCTATGGGAGGCTTTTTCCGAGCCGAAGTGTGCATTTTGTGCACTCTTCTTATAGCCTCCATTGGCTGTCTGATGTTCCACGAGGGTTGGAGGAGAATAAGAGAAACATTTACATGGCGGAGACGAGCCCAAAGAGTGTGGTGAGTGCTTACTATAACCAATTTCAAAAGGATTTTTCGTTGTTTCTGAAATGTCGTGCAGAAGAATTGGTGGAGGGAGGTTGTATGGTTTTGACACTTTTGGGAAGGAGAAGCCAAAATCCCGCTAGTAAGGAGTGCTCTTACATCTGGGAGCTCTTGGCTCTGGCTCTTGATGACATGGTCTCACAGGTGCTTCTATATCTTCGTAAAATCAAACATTTCATACGGGATTGTTTTGTCAGGACCGTGATCGATAATGCTTTTGTTTCTAGTCTTTTGCTTGTATTTTGTTTGTAAAGTGTTACAGAAACATGGTTGGTAATTTTTTTGTTTCTGATTCTAAAGTTTTCAATTTAAAAAAATGTCGGTTGGGGGATGGGGCAAGCGCTTGGGGCGCATAGGGCACCACTGTCTTTTTTATATCTTGTTTAAAGTTTTAAAAAAGAAGGGGAAAAAATATGTCGGTTGGATGGGACAAGTGCTTGGGCATTGAGTACCACTTTCCTTTCCTTATTTATTATGCACTTTATAAAAAATAATACTTTTATTTACATTTTAGAAAAAGAAACTTTGTGTCCGTTCTAAAAGTTCTACACAATTTTACTTCTCAAAAATTAAAAATGAAAAAATTAGAAACAAAAAACAAAGAACGTTATTAAATAAGTACTTAACGTCTCTCATCCTTTACTTTTTGTTTAAGATTTTTTATTTCTTATTTTACGTTTGCATCAAAACAAATGACAGGGAAAGATAGAAGAGGAGAAATTAGAGAGTTTCCACATCCCAAAATATATGCCTTCGCCCAAAGAAATAAAGATTGAAGTGGCAAAAGAAGGATCCTTTGGGATTGATTGCATTAAAGTTTCAGAAGTGGATTGGAATGTGTACAACAACAATAATCACTCCAACGATGGGTCAAAGGGCAGTGGGTACAACGTAGCCAAGTGCATGAGGGCAGTGGCCGAGCCAATTCTCATATCTCATTTTGGAGAACATATCATCCATGAATTATTCATCAAATATAGAGAGATCATTGCGGATCGTATGGCAAAGGAGAAAACTCAATTTGTCAATGTTACTGTTTCTCTCGCTAAATTAAAGTGATAGGACAACAATTCATGTGGATTAGGTCAGGTCGGGTCGAGTCGGGTGTCGTCTTTCTATGTTTAATCTTATATTTGTTATATGCGTGCTTGTTAATTATGTACCGAATCAATGAAAATTAGTAAGATGTCATCTTCGTTTCTAGTTAACTTACTAATGTGGGGGAGGAAATAAGAAAATAAAAATACAACGTATTATTAAAGTCAGTAAAAACTCTGAACTCATATTGATCGATTATCATTTGTTTAAAATATGAATAATTTGAGATTTATTTACCAGAGGTAATGTTCCTAGAATTTACCTGATTGATTTTTGTACTGCCACATATGAGCACAGTGGTGTCCATGGATCCATTAATTTATGTTCATACACAAATTTGTATTAATAAAGCTAATTTTGAATACATTTAGATATCAATAAATAAGGGTTGAAAAGTCACCGATCACCACTAATTTCTTGGCTGTAACCACCGTTAAATTGTTAACAAATACTAGAGATAAATACAAAAAGAAAGATAATTTTTCTACTTTTTAAAAAATTAAAGAACTGTCAAATTTTGAGTGGTTGTAAACGTTAAGATACATGATAACCTATTATACACCTTCCTTTTTTGACTTATTATTCACATTGATATTATATTCGTGTTAGTTTATATATTTGATACTATCGTAAATATATAAAATAATTGCTTTTTTCTCTTTATAATAATTAAGAACAACGTGTCTTGTTCGCCATCCGAGAAAACGTCGATATCACATCATGTTACATATTATGATACCAATAATTCAAAAGTTGAGGAGGACCCGAGTTTCTGTATCTGCCACTACATATAAATAGATATGAGAGTTCCGCTTTTGTGAAGGAGAATGACAAAGTAGTATGTACACAGTTGTGTGATCGGGTTCCACCACTTAATATCTTATAGATCACAATTCAACTACGAGACAACAAACTTTCAGTGAAGGAACACTGATCAGTTTTCTTTCTTTGTTTCGTTTTTTTTTTTTTTTCTCTCTTACCAAATTTTTTAAGATTGTTATATTTAAAATTTTCAATTTTCATATGTTTATTTTAGACCTCATTCGACTCTATTTTTTATTTTAAAAAATTAAGCTTAGAAATATTACTTTCATATATGTATGTTTTGTTATACACTTTCTGCAAACATTTTATAGGTCAAAAAAATAGTTTTCAATAAATAGATTTTATTTTTAAAATTGAACTAAGAATTCAAATGTTTTCGAGGGATCAAGGTAGAAAACTTACTAATAAAATTGTATAAAAATAAACATAAATTTTAAAAACAAAAAAATTAAAAATGAAACCGTCATTAAAAGCAGCTTAGTTTTTCTAATTTTAAGTTTACACAATTTTGATTTCTGGAATTTTAAAATTTATATTTTGTTCTTTTAACTTAAAAAAGTTTTCATTATGATCCTTATGATATTTACTTATATTCTTGATTTTTACAATTTTTATTTTTGTTCTTTTAATTAAAAAAACAGTTACCATTATGATCTTTTATTGGTATTTTACTCTTACCATAAAAATAACATGACTTTGAGTAAATATATTAAATTGTTGGCATGAACATGTATTTAAGTTCTCTTGGAGTATTTAATCTCTATATATACATAGAGATGATACTAGGTGGCAAAATAGCAATGACTAAAACTATATTTTTTTTAAGAATTTAGGAACTAGAATTTAGAAATGGAATTTAATTTTTCTTTTTCTGATTTTTATTTTAACTCCTAACCTTTGTTAATTGTTTTGTACTTTAATTTAAATGTTTAGCCTTAAAATGTTATGTTGTGTTTTAATCTTTAAATTTTTCATAAAAAAATATCTTTTAGTCTGTATTATTAACTTTTTTATAACAATTTAATAAAAATTGGAATTCATTTCAACACCATAAACTTACTACTACCTATGATTTCAAATACTTATCAATTAAAATACATTTTTCATCAAATAAATCAACAAATGGGGTGTTCTTATCAAGTCTATGTTAAATAATTTATAAAAAAAAATAACATAATATACTAAAATAGTTTTTGTGTTAAAAGCAATAGAATATCTAAAAATTCAAAAACTAAAATAAATTAATAAGCGTCAAAGTTTAGAAATAAAAATATTCTTTTTATTTATACAAGAAAAAATCTCATTCCAGTAAAAGGGAAGATTAAGGGGCATTTACACAAAAAAGCATTTATGTAAGGTTAAATAATAGTAAAAATGTCGTAATTTTACAAAACTACCATAATCCATCCTAAACTCAAATTCAAACTCAAAAGTATTATAAAACATAACATACTAAAAAAGTCACATTTATACTATATTTAGAAAAATTAAAATTGTGATATTTTTTAGAATATATATTAGATTTGCTATGTAGTGAAAATTTTCAAAAATAATTAAAATTTAGCCCTTTTACCCACTTATTTCAAATTTGAAATACTAGAAACAGCAATATATCATTTTTAAATTGTTTACCTTATTTGAAGTTAGAAAGATTCCAAATGAGTGTAATTATAAAAAATTATTCAGATTTTGGTTGGAAAAGAAAATTAAAATTAAAAAATTTTCCTATGACATTTTAATCCTGATTTATTAATTATAAACTTAAAATATTCCATAAAATTTGGCAAAATCAGACTATTTTAGTCGATTTAAAATCCCTAAAATTATTAATGAGGGAGTCCCCGCTGTGGACGGTGAAAGAAAAGGGTTTGTCGCCTTCCCTGCACTGAGATTTGTTTGAAAAATAATATATGATACTGAAAATCTGAATTTTAGTACCCATTAAAAAAAATTTTAAAAAAAAAAGAAAAAGGTGTCTCAAGTTCAAAACACAACTCTTTCCTATTTTACTTCGTTATTTATTTTTATTCTTCATTAATTAGAATACCCTCTAATTTCCTATGCTATCTTAGAATTCATACAAAATTTTTTTTTTAATAATATATATATATATATATATATATATATATTCTTTAAAACAAAAAACGANTGATTGGTAAACAAAATTGCAAACAGAAGTCCTGGAAAATTGAATTTTTAAAAGCGACAGTCGTATTGGGCCTGGTTGGTTCTGCAGGCCTGTCTATATTATTGGGCCGAAGCAGTCATTTTCCCTTGAATCATGCAAACAAAATTTTCAATTAAGATTTCAAAAATTTTAAATTTTTTTTTGTACATTTCTAAATTTTAATTATCGTTTTAGATTTCAGACCAAAAACAAAAACTTTAATCATCATTTTAACTTATTAACACGGAGTTATGGTCGCTTTCGTCATATATCAATTAGGAGTATTAATACATACTATAATATACATGATCATATATCTAATATAAATGCTGATATACAAATGATAAACTTGATATATTGCCAAAGCTAACATAGCTCAGCAATAATTAACGTATATCTCAAATCAAGAGATCGTGAATTCGATCCCCAACCTTCAGATGTTGTACTAAAAAAATGATAAACTTGATATATTACTTCTCTTTACTATGTCAGTTTCTCTTATTGAATTGTATTATATTATTTATAGATTTTAGATTAAATACATGTATGTTTTATAATCTAAATAAATATTTTATGCCTGATATGAATGATGATATACCATAAATATATCTTATTTATATTATATTATTAAAGGAATCAATAAAAATACATTGATTTACTTAATCATAAGAGCTGATGTACCAACAAAGAATATAAAAGTTTCCGAACTTACGTTTTCCAATAAAACTAAAAACAATAAACAATAAAGAAATGTGCTAAGGAAATAGCAAATATAAAAACCCAAAAATATATTTTATAAAAAAAGAGAGAGATGTTATCCATATACATTTAAACAAGGGAATTTGTAATGGGTAGCTAATGTATTTATCATATTTGTAAATATGACAACAATTTTATTTCTAGTTTTACAAATATGACTCTTTTATTTTGGTAGATCTATTTTAATTCATGGCCTCTACAAAAATAATCATTTTAATTTTTTCAATTATTTTATTACTTAATATGAGCTCACTCAACCAACTTATGTGTAAGAGTACATGCATTTTCAAACTTCTTTGAAAGAAAGAATACGCGCACTTTTAAGCTTCTATTTACTTTCTAACTTATTTTTAGTTTTAAATTTTATTTTTATTTTATAATTTGTTCATATTTTTTTAAAATATATTTTGTTCGTTGTTGAAATATTTAATATCAAGAAAATGTTTCGTTTTGTCACTGTCACAAATATTTTTGAAGTACTAAAAATTATAAACAAAAAACAAAAATGATTTATGATTATATGTAATAAATAATAAAAATTATATAAAAATAATATATTTTTTAAAGAATTCCTGGACACACTTTAAATGGAATTATGGAAGTCAATTTCTTGGTCAATTATTTATTTTCCGTCTTCCGCGTTTTGAAAGCTTCAACTTCAAGCTATCACAAAAAGAAAAATCAACATACAAATTAATCTAGATTTTAATTAGTTATTTAATGCTAACCATATAATTGATCAATTATGTGGTAATAACTTTTATTTAATTAGCTAAATACGAGCCTAAATAATTGACAAAAGATAAATATGAGCCTAGATTCATGACTAAGATATTTCTACTTCCTTCTAGAAATAGATTAGTGGGACATTATAAACTTTTAGATCTGCTATGATCCCACATTGATAAAATACAAAACCTAACCGTAGTTTATAATATAAATTTTGTTGTTCTTCGTAATTGATTTTGGGATGAAATATCATAATATTTAAAACAAAAGAATCTGGATTAGTATTGATAAACCAAAAAGAGTCCCCATCTTATACTGATTTTTTTTTTCATTCAATACATATACAATTGTAAATTTATAATACATTTATTGATATTTTATATATTTTAAACATAATTAAATGGAGAACTTGCCCCCGAGAAGATCCCCACCCCTCAGCGGGCCCCTTGCCATTGCCATCAACTGTCAAGTATTTGTCTTTGATATACTCTTTTTCAGATAAAAAGAAAGGAAGTTTTAATTACATTTCTTCAAACATTAAAATAGTAAAATAAATTATTAGTATTTTTTTTCCTTCACTATAATTTTAAAATATCACTTTCTTAAAAAAAAATTAAAATATCACCAAAAAATATAACTGACAATACATTTTAATGCCATTATAATTAAAATAACAATTTTTTTATAAAATAATATTCAACAAGTATCAAAATATTTTCAATAACAATCGTTATTAACAATTAAATTTTATTCAATAAATTATTTAAGTATAGCAAACCGAATATAGCACTAAAATATTATTTTGGTTATCTAAAAAGAAAAAAAAATATTATTTTAGTAACGATATATTCAAATTGCTAGTTAAAATGACATTTTCTTACATTAAGTATTAAATAGGTGTGATATGTGAGCAGTTTAATACATGAACTGCTCAACATTTATTACTAATATTATGTTTCAATAAGTTGTTGAATTTCTTTCCATAATTATTAAACCATGTTATTGAATTTTATTCAATACTTTTTTACATCATGCATGTTATTTAAAAGAATTCGTTAATTGTTTAAGACTACGACCAAGTAATAATAAAGATATTGTTATTTTTCTATATTTGTCCATATACCACTAATCAAAATCTTTAAGTGAAAGATCTCTACCAATTTTTTTATTATCTAAAAATTGTAATACAACACAACTTGTCAGTAATATTTACCTCCGATTCATTTTTGTTTGATTTATTTATGTTTTATTCATATATAGTTTTTTAAAACTCATTAACATTAACATTTGAAATCTAATAAAAACAAACGTTGAATATAACCTCTAAAGATGACATCATCATCTTCTTGGGCCAT